AAGCCAGCACTGGTTTGACCAGGCTGGTGTTAATTTCTTTCTTATAATTCTCCTCAGACTTTTGCATGCCGTCATAGAAGATTTGGCCAGGCAGGGAGTGCAGCCAGCTTGCAAAGTACTGAGGATGAGTCTCTTGCTCTTGGCCTCATCATGTGTCTCTGCAAGGAGGATGCTGCATGTGATGTGGGCATGGCACTGGTCTTGCCAGAGCTTGCAGTACTGAAGACCTCAAAGGCACTTTGATAGAAGGTGCTTTTCTCAGCTGGTGCTTTGCTCTGTGGCTGGTCTTTTGTCCGATCTCTTGTTCTGTGGCCAGATGTACAAGGCCTTGTGTGCTGAGAGGAATGAAAGCTGATGTAAGGCTGTGGTGGTGGTTTAGGTAGGGTGAGGATTGCTTTCCCTGCCTGGAGGAGCTGTTGCTGGGAAAGCTCTCCTGCGATTGCCCCTGGGGGAGCACCACAGCACCTGGGGCTCTTCTAAGGAGGGAAAAGTACTCACCAAAACAGTTTTTAGCATAGCATCTTAAACACAGGCATTCTTATCTGAGATGCTCTGATATCATTAAAATGAACGTGGTATAGATAACTAGATATGGCATCAGCGATCCTGAAGTTCACTGAAATGTCTGGCTAATAATACCTGGAAAAAGGGTGAAGTCAGTGAATTGTGCTCTATATTGCTTGATTAACCTGAAGCTGGACAGATTTGCACCTTTCCTTGGCTGCAGGGGTCTGGACCAGTGACTACTACACTGTATATATGCTATGTATATATCTATGCTGTACTACTATATTTATATGTATGAAAGTATAGCTGCAGTGTATATATGCAAGTACAAAGTAAGATCAAAGTTCTTTGATGAAACATGTTTCCATGATACAATGTCAGTTTCTCTGAATCAGAAGAAACCAATTTGACTTACAGGACAACATAAAAGCATCCTCCCCCTTCCACCTGCCCTTAGGCTATCCTGCGAGGGGAGGAGATATAGGACATTGCCATGTAAAATGTCCCAACCAGGACCAGTCTTGCCTCAGAGCAGCAGGCTGCAGGGAGCAGCACGCAGTGAGGTTCCTGCTGCTGTCTTTGCCTGCCTCCAGGAAAGTGTGTGGCCACTGCTGACAAGGGAGAGCTGTGAGTATCTGGGGTGACAGCTACTGCTGGAGAAAAGGGGGAAAATGACCTCCCTTAGCAGCAGTGTTTCCTGCCCTATCTCTCCAGCCCCATCACAGGAGCAACAAGCCCTGGAAACACTCTGAGCACCAGCTCATACCAGGTAAGCCAAGATCCTCTGACTTTCATTTAAATAGCACTGAATGAGGAGCCTCGGAGCACAAGCTAACAGGCGGCAATTTCGAGTGAAACATTTATGTTAATTCAATACAGACTGTTTAAGGAATTTCCCTTCTCAACTTCTATAGAGAAACAGTGTTCAGTCTTGTTTTTTCTTTTGAGAACTTCAGAAGTTCCCTCAAAAATTCCCTGAAGCCTTAATAACAGAGATTCCCAGTAGCGTGTCAGGATGTAATGTACAATGTAAAACTTTCACATTTGATGCTCGGCATAGTTAGATTTACCACACTGCTTCACATTAAATATATGCCAAGAATTCTAGCAAAATCACATGCTGTTCAACAGGAGATTTATAATGGGGTGCTTAACGATGAATTATTTAAAAGTACCTAATCTATCATGGTTTCTTGAGAACCTAATATGTGTATGTGTATATATTTATATGTAAAATACCCGTAAGCCATCACAGAATACCAATTTCTGAGCTTAGAGGTTTTGAGCATAAAACTAGAGTATATTTAAATGTAAGTATCCTACTGAAAATGCAGTGGAGTTTTAGAAAGAAAAAAGCCTTAATAATCTTCGCTGTTCAGATATACACACACAGTCATTTAAAGGGAATCTGTATCCTGCAGGGCTCCTCTTAGGTGAAATTTTAAACATATCTAAATTCTGCCATGAAGGATTTCTTTCAGTGTGCATGTTGATGTGGCATTTTAAATCTCACTGAAAACTTTCACAGAATTTCCCTCAGTTTGCAGGTTTGAGAAGATTACTATGTGCCTCCTACTAGCAATCATCCACAGTACTTTGGGTAAAGTACTTTACTGAGTGGGTACACACTTCCTTTTTACTGATGGAAAAACAGATGGAAAAAGACAGTGTTCTGCCCTGTATAAACAGCCTGCTGTGCTGCCTTTTCAAAGCCCTTGGGACTCGTATTTTCTACCTGCTCATGGGGAGCTTGCAGGGCTTGGAGGCAGCTCACTGGCCCCCAGTTCAGCTCACTTGAGGTGACCAGGCTGAGGAGCATTGCCAGCTCAGATGCCTCTTCAGCCACTTTATAAGATGGCCATGGAAATAACCTCACAGGGCCAGCCTTTAAGTTGTTTTGTCCTCAGACCCAAACTGGCTTTGAGATGACTCAAATGACGTTCAAGGGCAGATTGGCTGGCACCGTCTGCATGCCCCATGCCTCTCTCCTCTCTGTGGGCCTCTCTCCTCTCTGACACCTCATGGAGTTGGTCTTGTAAAGGCACTTGTGCTTGCTTGCAGAGGAAGGGCACCTATTGTATTCCTGTGCACATCCATGTGGAGAAAGGGCTGGATTTTCATGATGCTGGGTGGGATGCAGTTTGATGACTTTCAGTAGAGGAGCAGTTTCCTGCTGGCTCCAGGGAGTTTGCTGTTGTCTTTCATTTCAGCTTGCACATTGAAGCATCTGTTTTGAACTTACTTAGGTCCTTGCAAAGAGATGAGTGACACAGGACTTCCTCTGGCACCAGCAGCAGCTGTGGTGGGTCCTTTTTCCTCAGACATCTCATGAGGAAGGGCCAGCATCTGCTGCTTCCTCCCTGATGACTCTGGTGACAAAAGCCTGAAGCTTTCAGAGAATGAGTGGCAGAAGAGCCAGATGCCATGTACTACAGAGGCCAGCAGGATAGACTTCCAGGGACAGCTGAACAGAACAAGAAGTCCAGGCCTAGTTTCAGAGGTCACTTTATCTTAGGTTTGTGACTGGTATGCTAATGTAAGTTTATGGCACCTGCAGGGAGATACTTGGATTGGTGCTTTCAGGCTAATTTTGCTCTTTAGCAAGTTGGAGCCCTATATCTATAAAAGCCAGAGGAGGAAGAAACCAAACAAAAGAATCTTCATTCACTTGTCTAATTAGAGTTGTAGAATACAATGTTTCTCCTGAAGATACTGTCTGCAGGTCTGATCTTTCGTGAATCTCCAGTTCTGTGATGAATACCCTAACTGCTTGGTTGCAGTGTGAAGGCAGGTTGAACACTTTTGCCTCTTGCACAGTGAATACTTCTGCTGCCTCCAGGCAGGAGGCAGGACAGGTTACCCACAGCAGAGAACCTGCCCCCGTTGTAAGCCATAAATGTAGGGTATAATTTAAGGGAAGTCGAGAAGAAAAATAGCCCAGGGCACTGCCAGTGGCTAAAAGCTCAGCCCTAAACAGTGTCATATCTGTCCGCAGTTCTGCAGTGAGCTTCTCTGCGCCTTCTTGGCTTGGTTTCTGCCATGTCAAAGGGGGATGAAAATACCTGTCTTGTGAAAACCCTGCATGGTTAAAAACAGTTTGAAAGGAGGCCCTGTGAAAAACTGGAATACTCTGGAAACGGTGGTCATGCTCTCCAAGGCAGAGTCTTGTACGGACCTTACAAGGGAAGGGTGTAGTGTGGCCACAGCGCTTACAAGCTGAGTGCAGGGCCAGCCAGGGGAGCACAGGCACGGGAAGAGGAGGAATAGCAATAGTGAGGTGATGCAAGAAATATTTAATTGGGTTTATTTGCTGAAGGCATCACGTGCTGGCTCCAAACGCAAAGCCCAGGCGGCAATCACGAGCTGCCAACACCTTTTCGTCAGGGAGTTCGGATTAAAGAATTAAAACGCGAAAGTCGCCATCCCCAGCGCCGAACCTTGCCCCCCACCTTCGCTTTCTGGGGGTGGGAGGAGAGGAGAGGAGAGGAGAGGAGAGAGGCACAGCGGTTCCCGGGGCGGAGGGGCAGCCGTGGGCCGGGCAGGGTGACCCCGCACGGGTCACACATGCGGGCTGTGCACACACGCACAGCTGATACAGGAAACCCCACGGCGGCGGCTCAGCCTCCAGCCTCCCCCGCAGCAGAGCCCGCGGACCGGGCCAAAAAAGGGGCGCCGCGGCGGAGAGCGCCGCGCCTCCTCCTCGTATTTCCTCCCCCGCCCACTTCCAGCGGCGGAGGGGCTCGCTGCCGCCCGTGATGCAAAGTTAGCCGCGGCAGGATGCGCGGCGCGGCGGTAAGTTTCCGCGGCGGGGCCGGGGCACGGCGGAACGGGACGGGATGGGACGGGACGGACCGGGCTGGCGGCGAGGGCGCGGGGAAGCCCGGCCGGGCGGGCAGTGGGGAGGAACCTCCGGGATCTCCGCGTCATCCGCGGCTCTGGGCGCCTCTGTGTGTGTGTGTGTGCGCGTCCGCCCGTGCCGGTGCCCCGGGGGCCGGGCCGCGGCAGGGGGGAGCGCGACGCGCACCGGTGCAGCGCTCCGAGCGGCGGGGTGGCAGCGGTAACTTCTGTCCTAGAGGGGAGGGAGGGGGAAGGCAGCGCAGGATCCCGTCACCATGAGGGACCCTTTATACCCCTCCCGAGGAAGCCCCGGCTATTGGAGGGGGGGGGCGGCCCGGGACACTGATGGCCTCCGGGTGCAGGCGGCTGTCGGCAGGGGAAACGCGCGGGCCTGTCGTGCCTCACGCTGCGCCCCCACCCCCCTTCCCCGCACCGGGCTGCGAGGAAACCCCCTCGGTGACCCCTCCCCTGACCCCTCCTTCTTCCCCCCCCCCCCCCCAGCCCGCCCTCCCGCCCCGGCTGGGGAAAGGGGGCGGGGCCGGGAGACCCGGTGACGTCACTGCTCCGGCCCCGCTTCCTGCAATAGAAAGTGAGAGAAGGTAAAACACCCTCCGCCCCCCCGCCCCCCCACGCGCGCCCCTCCCCCCGCCAGTGACCGGGGCGCCTGTGGGGAGGGGCGGGGCCGGGAGCGCGTCTCTTCCCCCGAGGGGAGCCCGGAGGATGCGCCGGCCCCCCCCCAGCCCCGCCCAGCCTGTCAGGGGAGGCTCCCCCCCGCCCTCCCCGCATTGTGCGGGTCCCCTCGCCATGGGGGGGCTCCGGGGTTGGCCGGCTCCCGCGTGGGACATGGCGGGGGGGGGGGGGAAGGCCGGAGGAGGGGTCTGCGCGGGAGGCGGGCGCGGCGGTGGCAGGGGGCTGCGGAGGGGGCCGTGCCGGGGGGCGGTGCCTTGGCCGGCCCGGGGGGACGGTGCATGGAGGAGGGGTTGATGTCGGTGCCGGGCTCTGTGTGTGTGTGCGTGTGCCCGGGCGCGGCGGCGGCAGCGCTGGGTCATGTTTGTGTTTGAGGTTGTCAAGTGAAGGAGGTTCCCGGCTCCCCCTCTCCCGCCCGCTTCCCCCCCGTCCCCCCGTCCTTCCCTGCTGCTGCTGCTGCCGCCGCCGCGCAGGGGTCGCCGCGCTCCCCGCCGCCGCCGCCATCAGCCGTCGCTACCGCCGCGCCGGCCCCTCCGCCAGGTTTGCAGTGGGAGCCGCGAGGATCGGGAGGGGGGCTCTGGAGGCGCCGCGCGGAGGGGGGTGCGGGGCGGGACGGGTGCTCCCCACCGCTTCCTTTCCACCTTCCCCCCGTCCGTCCGTGGCCGGCGCCCCCCTCTGCGCGGAGCTGCGGCAGCCACAACACAATGTGTCCTCCGCCGGCGGCGGGGGAGCGGGCGGGGACTGGGAGTCCGCAGGCCCCACTCCCCCCCCCCCCCCCCCAATAACCCCCCAGCTCCGCCGGGCCACCGCGGCACCTTCGGGACGCGCGGGTACTGCGCCCGCCCGCGGTGTCCCCAGGGGAGCCGGCGGCACCCCCCGCCCCGGGCGGGCTTGTCTGTGCGCTCCCCACCCGCTTAGCAAACGGGTTGGGGGTGGTGGGGGTTCCGCGGATCCCCGGCCCCACTCCTCTCGCCTCCCATCCCCGCCGCCGTCCCCGCAGGGCGCAGGGCTCCGCCACCCCCCCTGGTCCCCCGTCCCCCCCCCCCTCCCTCCCTCCCCGGCATGTGTGCAGCGCTTTGTTCGGTGCGGCGTTGCAGAGGGGTTTTCCCAGGCTCCTCCCTCTTTATTCATTCATGTTTTTTTTCCCTCTCTCCCTTCTCTTTGCAACGCTGCTCTCGCATACCGACGGCTCTCCGGGTCCCGTGGGGACTGCTGCTTCCCCTCCCCGCTCCCTAATGGCATTTTTTGGGGGTGGGAGAGGAGGGGAAATATATGTGACCGCTGCCTTTGCGAGCTCTCGTTTCTCCTTCTCCCTTTTTGTGTCGTTTAAACGAAGAAGGGGAATGACTTTTCGTGTGGGTCCTACGCGGTGTTTCCGCCGTGGCTTTCACACGGCCAACCCTTCCCCCGAAAGAATGAGTCCTGCTGGTGAGCGGGGGAAATCGGTGGTTTGAAAGCGTAAATAAGATGTCATCCGTGCTGCAGGGGAGCATCGGGAGGTGCTCACGCTTTACAGATACCCGGGAGGAGGGGGATGGGGGATTTCAAACTCCTGCTTCTAACAACTTGCATAAAGAAGAGACTGGTGTTGATGAGGATCTTTAAAAACCTCAGCCCGGCAGCACACAAAGGAAAGAGGGGGTTGGGGTTCAGGGGCTGCTTATTCCTCCAGGTAATCCAGCCTCTTCTCTGCATTTCCAGCTTGTGTCCGAGATGAGGAAAATGGGCCTGTTAGCATCAGGTTTTGTTTAATTTCTCAATCTTCCTGTTAGCTTTGCAGATAAAGTGGTACGGGAAAAGAACTTGACAGGCTCTGTGCTCTGTTTTGGATTTTTTCCTTGTTTTTCCTGTAACATGCAGTAACACCCTAGTGAAGAGCCATCAGTCAGAGCAACATTTTCCAGCCCTCCTTTGTGTCAGTTGCAGTCAGTTTCTTCTCCGGTTTGGGTCGTTTTATGCAGCAACAGACAAAAGAAGCATTAAAAATTAATGATTATATTCCTCAACAGTGTGTAGACTGAAGGGGTGGTTGCAAGTAGTCTATTTCAAGTGGGTTTGGATTCCATTTTTATAAAAACATGGTTGTCTTAAACCCCCCCAAACCCACCACAACCCACCAAAATTAATACTTGACAAATGCTAAAAATTTTACAAAACTCCTCCTTTGTGTAGCTACCCTTAATTAACTTGGTCATATTAGGGGCAATCCTGAAGAAAAAAAATCTGTTAACATATGTTAGTATTACCAAGTGAAAAATGGTTAATTTGTTTTGTTCAGCTGGAAGAGTGAAACTCTACTGGTCATTTTCTTTTCTAAGTTGTTGTCTGTAAGTCAGTTTGCCATAGTTCTGTGTGAGATTTCACATCTTGTAGCATTTCAGAAACTGAACATAATACTACTTAAACTGGAAGCAAAGCACAAGAATATTTGAAATGTAAGAAAGTTTTGTTTAATCTTGCAAAAAGGAAGATGTAGATCTGGGGATTCAGATGTAGGTTTCTGCCAGTATATCACCAGATCTGTGTTTTAGGCTATTAAAAGAATTCCCTGGTCCATAGGGTTTCTCTGTATTGGGGCTTGTAAATCTGATCCTGTAAATGCAGGGGCTGCTGCAGCCATGCAGGACCATGCCAGAGTAGAAGCTTGCTGTGCAACAGCTTGCAGGTGGATCAAGAGCCAGTGTGATTCTCTGCTGTACGCTGATACTTTGGAAGAGATCCTATGGGGGTTATTCTGCACTGGCACACTCTGTGTGAGGAACCTGGAGGTAGCTGATGTTGCTAATAGGGTAGATTATTGCTGGTGCCATGTGTGTTTGCCCTCTGCTCTGTTCTCTCCCCACCCTGAGATGAAGATCTGTATCTTAAAGCCTGATGTCAAGTTTTGTTTACTTTTTCTGGATTTATTTGCATGGGACACAAGTTGTTGGAAGACATTTTCTGGCTAGAAAACAGCTGACAAATGTGGAAAAGTGTCTTAGTTTTCTCATGCTTCCTGAGTAATCCCGAAAGGAGTTTCACCCTCATGTAGTTTTCTTTAGATACAGGAACATTTCACTCTGTAAAAGTATAGGTACAGAAATACATCTTGCTCATTGCTAATTTCTGTAGCCATTTGAGGGTGAAAGGCAGAAGATAGGTATCTTTGTTTTCCTTACTAATGCATACATCTTGTAACTTTTATTTCCCCCTTCTTTTTTTAGCATACGGATTAACTGACCCCTTTGACAAGTTTATGGAGCTGCCATCTCTCTGCTTGCTGTGCTTTGCATTTCTGAGAGAAGAAAGTGGTGTATGAGATTAGAGGAAAATGCCTCGGACAAAGCAGATACATCCCAGAAATCTGAGAGGTATGTAGCTCTCAGCTGAGAAAGAAGAGCTCTTGGGAAACTCAGTTGCAGTTTCAATTACAAAGTTAAAGAAATTTGTATTTAAGAAGTCCATTTTGATCCAAAAATAGTTTGCAAGCAACTTCTACGAGTCGCCTGCTTGACAGCTCCGATTTTGAGAGAAATAAGTAGAATCTGTTCTTATTCCTGCAGTCTCTGTGCTTGACAGCATTCTTGATATCCTCCAGTTTACAGCAATAACCAGTACGAACTTTGAAAAGACAAAGGAGGATGTAGTTTCCTTACCAGAGAATTTCCAGTTGAAATACACAGGGAGGTGGGGAATGCACGTAACCTAGAAGGAACATGAGATCTGGCAGCCAGTAGTTGTTTTTCTTAATAGTAATCAGTTTGGCATGCTTCTGAGGTGACCAAACTCTCTTCCCATGCGTGCCTCCTCACTGTTTATCATCTGTCACCCATGCTACCTCCCGCTTTGCTAGATTTGACCTTGGTCTCCTTGCTGTCTTGCCTTCATACAGCCATATGGGAGCCTGTTGGCTGTGGAAAAGAGTGCGCAGGCAAACGACCTGCTCCACAAACTGGCAAGCTTACATGCCCAGGCATTTCCTTGAACAAAATCCCAATGCACTTAACTGAGCTCAGGACTGGCAGATGAATGGGAGGAATCTGATCCTATGGTTATTTGTTACTGTCATGGTAGAAGTGGCCCTGAAGGAATTAAATGAGGGGAAAAATACAGGTCAGTTGACGAGCAGACATGTATGGCAAGGGAGAACACACTTCCATCCCCACCTTCCTACGCAGCTTTCAGGAGAACATGCTTCCACGTGCACCCTCACGTGTAGCTGTCATCAGCCTTTTTTATGTGAATTTTACAGTTGCAGTATGGCAGCATCCCTTCAGAGAATAAAAACGATTACAAAACCATGAATAGCAACATAAAGTTTTAGGGGCAGGAACAGCATTTGATTCCGGTTTTAACTTTTTATGCCAAAACCCCAACAAACATCTGCATGTGTTTCAGTTAGTTTACAGTTGAGAGGCTCTCAAGTGCTAGTGCCTACAGCTGTGTCCAAGACCTTGTGTTTGCAGACTGTTACTGCTGCTACCACTAAGAATCTCTGCTGGAGGAGGCATTTCTGCAGTGTCTTTCTTCACAAGTGCTGAGTAGCATTTTTTGGTGTGATGGTTAAACCTGCATCACAGATCAGGAATTTCACATTTAGGTGGTGCCATTTCCTCTTCTCACTGAACGTGAAGCAATAGATTAGAGTCCAGTTTTTAATACTGCAGCTTACCAAGTTGCTGGCATAGCAGAGCTTATGTTCTCTGATCAAATGTAAGAGTGATCTAATTTTAGTACTCTGATACTTACTCTGTATCACTTGAAACTTAATAGGAGTTAAGTCTGTTGTAAAGCTTTCTATTCACTTACAGAAATGCATTTAAAATAAATAATCTAATTAAACTCTTAACTGTGTAAGAAATTAATTGCTTTTTTATTTCCTTGCGTAATTTCCCCAGTCATTTAGCTTTTATCACACCCTGTAATAGCAGTTTTCATCAGTTCCTATTTTTCCACAACTAATGGAGTTCTTGAATGAATTAAGATGGGCTAAATGTTGAGAAGACAAATAGAGGTATACAGTGAGCCCGTAATTTGAAATTATGTTGGAATGGCTAAATGATTGTTAAAACTACACAGGTGCTGCAGACTTCAACACATTGTGAGCATACACTTCTACTATCACGGCTTATTATAAGTGAAGTGACTTGAAAAATCAGTTTACTTCTCATTAGTTATGCCCTATTTCCATTTTTAGTCTAGATAATGAGGAAAACTGGATTTTACCTTCTTTAGTCATCAGTCTCTGAGAATACTGCAGAAAATATTTGGTTAAACACTCAGTTTTTGTTGGAACTTGAGGAGGCCGAAAGATTTCACAGGCCTGTTTTCTGACAGCCTATTTTTATATACACAGAATGAGACCCATCCTAAGTTAACCCCCTTAAACATTAAAACTTTGAAAAATTTGTTTTTTAACACTGTGGTTTAATTCAGGGTAGTTAGTACTGATGATAATGGAATCTGCAAAAAACAATAAATGTCTGTGGTTGAAGGTGAAACTCTGCAAATGCTTATGTTTTGTAACTTTCAAAAGACAAAGGTGTAAGATGTATTTTTAGGTTAAAAGGTATTTTTAAGTTGTCTAAACTTGATTGTCACCTTTTGTACTGTGTACAAAGAACACTCTGTGGCCTTACCTGACTTCCTCATCCCTTGTCCTGGCTCCTCGCGTTGCCCCGTAGCAATCAGATCACCAGCAGCTTTAACTGGACTTGTCCAGAGCCTATCAATGTTTAACTTTTTGAAAGATCACAGTTGAACAACCCTGGACACTGGCTACCCTGTTGTGCATCAGATGAGTTACTTGGGTTGCATTTGCAGTCCAAGTTAGCCTGGAGAATAAACAACCAAGTCCAAGAACCTAATGTATTTTCAAAAACCCAGCACAATCCCTCTCTCCCTCCCCCACAAAGAAACCACACAGAAAAGACCCCACTGTAAACACCTACCACCACCACCACTCTCATTAGTTAATTTGAGGTTTGCTGCAGCATAAGAGTAAGTTTTGAAGGTTTTAGTATTGCCTGTGTTTACCGTAAGCAAACCTCTTGTCTGAGGAAAATTAAATAGCTTTGTTTAATATAGGGAGCTAAATGTAAGATTTTGGGAGGAAACCTTAAGGCTCTCCTTTTTGTGACACGGCTTGATTTTACTCGTTTTGTATACTTCTGAGAGAGATGACAGCCTTTGGCAGATTAGCAATGGCCCTGAAGTATCAGGATCCGTGAAGATCGATTTTATTTTTTGTATATTTGGGAGCTTTTCTTTCTTTTGTGTGCTGATGTCATCTTCTGTCTCCTCCTCCTTGGTTTTCACTGGGTATTTACAGATGTAAATGTACAATATAGTACTATCCTAACCTGATTTTTTAGGAGGAAAAAACTCCAAACCTGTATCAAGAGGGCATGATATGGAAAACATTATTTTACAAATTTGAAAAAAATACTAAATTAGTTGGCTACTCATTTTTGTGACTGTATTAGTGATGTGGTTTTAATGCCCACCTCTGAGTGTGTTGTATCTGAAGGGTACCAATAAGGTACTTTTGTGCTTCATTCATTTCATTATGTTTTGTCATATCCACCTTCCCTGCTTCTCACTTCAGATTCATCCTTAGGGGAAAAATGTTGCCATCACCAGTGTCTGTTTTGGTAAAAGGAGTTGTTCTTCAGTGTCAGGTTTGGTCTCCTGACTAACCTGACAGTTGTGGTTATCCGCAGCAGTAGAGATGAGTGGCTAAAATTTGAGAGCAATTGCAGTTTTGCAGGTCTCAAAAAGATACGGGTTGGATGCATACAAGTTGTGGTAAATCCTTAGTAGTTTGAAAGGTGAAGGCCAGAGGTATGCCTAGGACAAGCCTAGCATGGAGGTTTACCTGTCAGCAGTGTGGCTGGAACTGAGTTTATAAGCAGGTGTTCCTGATGTTGTCTTAGTCTCCTAAATATTAAAGATACTTATTGTATTGCTAATCGAAAGCATCATCATTCCATGCTGCAAAAGAGGACAATACCTGGCTTATTCAGACATTCAGAGGTTGCCTTAATTGACTTTATTTGTTGTATAAAGTTTTAGCTCACTGAAACTGACAAAAAGACTACTTTGCATGTGGTTACTGCCATATATTTACATGGCCAATTGATACACAGGTGTAACAAAACGTTTCACAAGAGCTGTAATGTATTCCCAGAAGTACGGTTACATTAGAGAATCATGCTTTTAGCAGGGCTGAGTGGGCTTGGTTTGTTGTCAGATGGTTGTGAGAATATGGAAGGAAAAAATATGGTTCTGTTTACTTAAAAGTACCCAGTTGTATAGTTTAAAATGAAAAGTTACTTACGTAGATAATGTTTAGCACACTGCACTGATTCACCAGTACAAAACTGTAACAAATATTTTGAACTTCATCTCTTGATAAGCTTTCTGTTATTTTTAATAGGACAAGCTGTTGCTGTTTCTGTTTTTCCTTCTCAATCAAATATTTCTGTTTGAAACAAGTGGCAGACAGGGCCATAAAGTTCAACAGCCATCTCCAAATCTTCTAACACTTTGTATTTGATAAGTAAATTTCATACATGTATATGTAGTTTTGCTCAATAGCTTGGTAGCTTTGCATTAATCTGAAAAGTGTGCTTAAGTTTGCTGGAAAGCTGGATACATTCTGGGCCTTATGATGTCCAGAGGAGCTAGGCATCTATGTCGCAAGTGTGATTTAGCAAAGGCTTTTTGAGTTTGCTTAAAATTGTAATGTGCTTTCAGTACTGAAATAGGCCAGTCTACACTGAAAACTGACAGGTTGGTATTTTTTATTAGTGTTTGGTTGTGTAGTCTATAAAACTTGAGTATCGATTGGTATGCTGTGCTTCAGTTCATGATTTGCATTAATTACATAAAAAAAGCTGACATTTCTCAAGGCTTACTTCTGTAATTTGTGCTTGCATGGTTCAGAAGAAATGTGGAAGCACAACATTTGACTTCTGGGTCTTGGTATTCTTTCCGAGACAAAAATAACGCTTCAGTTTTATCGTATTTCTGAGGGGCTGTTGATGCAGTATTGGTATGTCAGAAGTGCTAGTGGTCTGCGCTCTGTGGTGTACCTGTGGGTATCTGTGAAGATGTTGCATATGTCTTACTAAATTTGTGAAGCAAGTGTAAGACACAGGTGGAACAAGAAGTCAAGAGTTTTGATTCAGTGACCTTGTTACAGAAATATCCACTGATTTGTTAGTTCTTGTTCCTCTGTATCAGGTTGTTTTGTACACTTCTACAAACCAAACTTGAACCCCAAACCTCCATTGTGGAGGTAGAGAGAATGCATAGCTCTGCTGGTGCGTTATCAGGTGGAGTACCAGTGATCCACCCGTAATGTAAT